ACGAGATATCTGCAATGAAATAGCTTCGTAATTTGCACAATAGTTTTATTGACATTTTTTACACTTTGATTTTAAATGAAATTAATTTGCTTCAATTACATCGATTGTCCCTTTTATCTAATGATTCATTTTTTTCGAATAAAATGATATCCAGACTTGATTTAATAATATAATATTTTTTATATTTTTTATATATATTTTAATATAATATATATAATATTTTTATATACAATATTTTTATATATATTTTAATATATTTTTTAATATAATATTTATAATATTTTTAATATATTTAATATTTTTAAATGTTACATATGCAGGATGTTTTATTTTAATCGATGCGTATATTTTTATATGTTTTTGTTAAGTAATGAATTATAAAATTAAATAATTAATCAAAATTTATATAAATTAAAAATAATTAAATTTTTACCAACTACATTAAATAAATACATTTAATCGCTCTAATTATCGTTCCAAAGATTCATACTACCAATATTATATAGATTTTTTTTTGTATTGTTAATAACAATCATTTTTAATGAATAAATATTTTATTTTAATTTTTAAATATTGTAATTTGTTTTTTCAATATATAATGATATAAAATTAAATATTTTTATATCAAATAAAAAGATCCAGACTCAAATAGTTTTATGGCAAAAGCCCATCAATAATTATCCAATTTTAAAAAATTTAGAAAAAGAATGGTTTTTCACAGATTAAAATTTCCGAAATTAAATAGGAAATAAAACTACATTTTGCAATTAATTTTAAAATTTATTTTAAAGCATTCTAATTTGGCAGATAATTACAATGAAAAAAATTGAAAATTTACAAAAGAATTTCGATTTTCCTTGATATTTTTCTTAAGGAGAATTTTTAAATCGATCAAAAAAATATACTATGAAATGGATTTGCAGGGCATTATATGAGGCACTTTATATATAACTGCCATATATATGTTTAATGTCATACATGATCCAAGAAATCCAAATTAGTGATTCATTATCTGACGATCGTATGTCAATATTAATGATAAACGAGTCGCGTCCGGTCATAGAGAAGAAAATGTCAGGAATCCCATTAAGTCGAGACTTTCAGTTATAATGTAACGAGCAAACGATAGCGTGTGATAAAAGATAATGAGAGAGAGAAAAAGATAGAGATCATTAGGTAAAAATATCGATCGCAAATGTCATTTTGATAGCGAATAATATTTCATGGTACAACACATCAGAGATTAAAATACGTTAGAAATTGCGTTTCGTTAAAAGCAGATTTGAATGCATCCTCTATGCGAATCGCGTGTGCAATTTCGTCTATTCCAGTGCACACGTACGCGATGCATAACATCTTGAAAATATCTTGAACCGAAACGTGTAGCGATTTTTCACAATAGCATTTTGGATATGGTAGATGATGGTAAAATCTTTTATCAAGTGTGTGTGCGTTGTGAAATTAAAATTGTTCAATTAAATTTCTTTATGTGAAAAGAAAAGGAATTAATTTATTAATTAAATAATAATAATAATAATAATAATTTAATATATTTAATTAATTAATTTATTTAATATTTTTAATTAATTTATTTATTGCGCTCTAATCATATGATAGAAAACTTATCAAATTGATAAAAATATCCATTTCCATCTTTTTAAAAAAAATATATTTATTCTCAAATATTAATAAATATTTTTTTCTTTGTGATCGATAATATTTATCAATCTTTTTTAAACACACAATAAATGGAAAATCAGATAATTAAAGCTTACAATCCAAAAATCTTAAAATGTGTGTACGTATTTCTAATTAATTCTTTTTCTTATATCATTACGATTATTTTATTATATGTATATGTAATAAGTAAATCATATTTTTGAGTGTCTAGTCAAGTATAATATTTTGTCGCGTTTAATTTCTTGGAGTTTTTACTCATATATATTTTTTTGCTTGACATAGATTTTAATAATATTATATCGGAGTAAGATTAATTGAAATTTACTAAACGTTTGAAATGTACGGCTATATCCGAAAAACGCTATTCTATTACGCAAATTCTCTTGAATTTCATGATTACGAACAAGACTGGAAGAAAAGGGGAAATTTTTTTGATAGACTCGAGAACCAGAGAAATGAAAGGTAAAAAATTCTCGACAGACCATAAGATCGATATCTCTCTGAAATAAATTGTTAAATATCGTGAAAATTTTTTGTGCTCTCGGTTTCCAGAGCTTATCAAATTCTTTCTATCTAATTAATTCTACATAATATTATCAAATTTACAGAAGATTTAATATAATTACGCATATAATTTGAATGAGAAAATAATCGAAATAATCATGAGATGCGTATAGTCGATCGTGACACAATTCTGTCAAATGGAAACGATAAAGCAAATCTGTTATTTGTTTCGCGCCAAATGTTCGATATGTAATAATCGCGTATTTGTGCAGTTTTATCGAAATAAATGCCTCTATGCAAGATGCTTTTCAAGCTTTTAACGTGTCTCGTTGGTGTTATTTGTCATAATATGTAATTTCCAACGAGGAAATGGCTAGAGCGATTATGAGGGAATTGTCAGATTGTAAAAAAAAAATTATTGCACTTGCTTATGCATACCAGTAAATCGATATTCAGGGACACTGCAGTAATATCCGTGAGCTATGACATGTACATACGCATATGGATATTTTGCATAATAGAAACAGCGACATATCGATGAACATCCACCTATTCCCTCCCCGTTCGAGTGTGTGTACGCGAGCGGATACATATGTATCTCCGATATGCATGCATATATGATTCGATGCATTATTCAACGGCGACCAATGGTAGCAACGCCATGCGCGACGCGATAACAAGTATAGCATCTTCTCTCCGAGAAACACAGAAATAGACGGTGCACTCGTCAAAAGCGCTAGAGTGAGGCATGCACCCGCGAATAAAGGTGTCCAAATTTCCAGTGGCCGCTTTCAACGTTTTGTTTCGACGTTAACGCGCAGTGGTACGTTCACCATATTTTTTTGCATACCGCGTATTTCGCATATTTCTAAATAAATATATATAATAATTAAATATATAATAATAATTCAATAATAATTTAATATAAATCATATGTAGCCGGGAATGAGAATTGATGATGATTGGTACATAATGAGAAAATTATTGTTTATTATTATTATTATTATTATTATTATTATTCTCTTTTTTTTCAAATTTAAAGTATCTCTATTTTTTGCATGAAATTATATTTTTCTTAAATAAAAATTGTTTTTCACTTTCATAATCAATTTTTAATTTCTCATCACATTGTATACGTTGTATAATTAAACTTCATAGTATAATTAAAATATTTTTTAAAATAAAATCCACTTAAAATTAAACTTCATAGTATAATTGAAATTGAATTTTTTAAAATAAAGTCCTTGAAATTAAATGAAAGAATTACCCGATTAAACTTAGTGGTCTGTGAATATCGAGTTTGATGAACCGTATGTCTCGATAATTATAAGAAAATGGAAGCTTGTATCAATATTGTATTTTCCAATTCGATTGTGCCCATGGTTTCATGCACACTAATGAGCTCTGACAACGAGTTACTACATCTTGCAGAATATTTTACATCATGTAATTTTAAAATTGTACAAATAAAAGAAAACACTAGAAATTTCATACATTTCTATACAAATATTTTATAAAAATATTCTTGTAGGAAGAAAAAAAGTAAAACAATAGTAAAAAAATTTTTTAAATTCTATCATTTTAGCAAAATTACTTCACATTACACATGATAAGAATGAATGAGAGAAGATAACAAAGACATATCGCTTAAAAGTAGTTAAGTATAAATAAAGTATATGCGTAATGAGACGATTTTTAATGGAAAATATAATAAAAATTTTTTAGTACAATTATTTTGTATGAGTTGCAATATATGAAAAGTAATTTCAAATAGTTAATTACGTCATTTATAAAGGATTTATTTAAAATTTTTATATCAAAGGATTCATATAAAAGAATCATTTATTATATATGTGATATTGTATGTTAAAGTTTTCAATCATTCGTGTATATCCTTTTATATATCCACAATGAGCAAAATATCACAAGATAAAAGTTCATTTTTTCAAGCACTTTCACGGTCGCGATTAAAATATGACATAATCAGATCACTTAGAAATATAGTAATATACATGTTATACATGTTATACACGGATACGGTCGCGTTTATAAAGACTGTTATCTAAAGACTCATTTAAGCGGAACGGTATTGAATCGATATAATATCGTGTAGAACAGCTTGTATTGTTTGCATAACGTAGTCTTAATTTCACCTCCGGGGTTGTATCGTATTATTCATACCTATTTTCAAGTGTATGCCATTAATATATATTTTTACACAATCTCTTGACAGACATCGTATAAACTTTAATTGCAACAATAAAGCCAGTAATTAATCTTTCCAGATTTATATATTTATATAGCATTCTTCATATATTTATTTAATTTTGGAAATTAAAATTTTTGAAATTGAATTGAATATTGTTGAATTTGTGTAATTATTTATTATATATTATTATGTATATAAAAAATAATCGTCTTCCTCATTCTTTTTTATTTTACTTGCTTCTAATTTTCATAAATAAGTTTATAATAGTTACAAGAGACATAATAAACATTTAATAAATTCTAAACATTTAAAATATTCAAGATTATAAAGTTAATAAAATATAATGAAATTTTTATCTCGTAAAAATCGAGTAAGAAAGATTATAATGAATAAACGATCAAAAACATATTGTGTATACATATAAATATACATATAACAAATTTTATTTCTTTATTATTATTCTTATATATCTTTATTATTTCTTGAAAACATGTTATCCTGCAACTTTTCTGGAAATAAATAGTTTTAAAAATACGTGCCTTTTTTATTATGAATATCTTATTTGCTAAATTTCTCGCTTACTATTATATATCCGTATGTGTTTCAGATTTCGTGAAAATGAAGGACCAGACGGTGCATCATTCTTCTTCATTGAGGTAATGATAATTGATAATATTATTTGCAATAGATACAAATCATCTTAAGATTCCGTTCAGCTAATGAAATGACCGTATAACATTTTCGGATTGTATATAAAGTGATTTTAAATATAATGGCCTATATGAATACTGTTTTGTCATCTGATCGATGACGCTATCTATTCATAATGTTTGCGATAGCAACAGATAAATACCAAGATTTGTAATAAAACAAATTTTTTTTAAATCGGATTTTGATTTTTTAAAAACACAATTTTTATTTCCGAAAGGAAAGAAACGGGAAAGATATGTAAAAAAAATATGGAACGTGCAACTAAAAGTTGTGAATTTAATAGAACTAATAATCACGACTTGAAGTAACTTAATTATTTTGCGATTCGACTTCATCGTGAGATTACAACGTAAGTCAACAGTAGTCTTTAAATTGAGCAAAAACGATACGTCAGACATGTGATTTTATGGGTTCATAAAAATTTATCGTTGCTTAAAAGCATCACTTTTATATCCATGGAAGCTAAGAGGTGACTTGGTAAGTGTAGATTATTTTGCGTAAATATTGACGTTTAATGTCATATTCAGTTAACGCGGTTGTATCGATCCTAGCAGAATTCTTTAGCGGAAGCCGGGCTTTTAAATTTAAAGCAATTGAAATGTCAAGCCGTATTTGATAGAATCGTGAGAAGTTTTTCGAGAATATAGGGCGGGCAGATTGAAGGAGAGTTCGTTGAACATCTGCCAAAGAAGTGAAGCGGATCAAAGATAGGCGAATGGAATTCGAGACTCGTGCACACGTAAGCACAGCAATCGATATCTTGCACATAGCTGCGAGCTTTTTATTGTCATCGCGATAAATATAACGATTAAATAGGAGGAAAATACCACACGAAATTTGCACGCCCAAATTTGAAAGCCCAAATCTATCATATCTAATAACGTATATCTATGTCATTCTGTTCTTCCCACCAAATTCTCTTCCCACGCAAGATCTCAAATCTCTTTGTCAATCATATCTCGTCAGATTCGTCAGACGTTCATTTTCATACATGTACATATGGAATACAAGCAAATGGAAATTAATTTTAATATCGTTCGATGAATTTTAATATCGTTCCTGCAGAGAGACTTAATATTTTCTCGGTATTGATAAATTAATCGATCGAGAAGAGATTTATTTTGAGGTATCGAAGAAATAATCAGCAAATTGTTAAAATTAATTTAAAGAAAAAGCTTTCATTTCAAATGTGATAATTTTCTTCAGCTCAATCTTATAATTGCATCATGTTTTTTTTAATTTTATTTTACATGTTGAGACACATTGTTGCTCTTAGAATGAACATCCTGGTGAAATTTATTAATTATATTTATATAAATATTTTATAAATATTATATAAAAATATATAATATAAATATATTTATTTTTATATAATGTATATTTATATAATGTATAAATATTTTTATATAATGTATATTTTTTACATAAATTTTATTAGTAGAACTTATGCTATTCTTTCAAAGAAAAACAATACACTTCGATATCTTAATATAATAATTTTTAGAAATTTCATTTTTTTTTACAACCTGGATTTTCTGCCAAAAGACTTCAAAACGCAATTGTTTCTGTATAGAATCGAATATTTTTCTTCTAAAAGAAATAATTCACATGTAATGTGCGAAAACATAACTGCTATACATGTAACGAAGTTCCAGTAATGATTATGGATTATCATGATTCTGTTGTCGCCTTGAAAGTAACGACCTTGAATTACACTTGCATCAGCACATTATCATAAATATCCCGACATGCGGAAACTGCGTATTTATCTTTGATTTGTAATCTCAAGCGAAACTATTATCATACCTAAAAACTCTTTATATTTATTACACGTGTGATTTCACACTCCATGACAAATCAAAGTACACCGAATGATTCACTTTAAATTTAAATGTACCTCTATATCAAAAGATCTATACCCCATAAGATATCACACGTCTTTTATTAATAATATCTCTGCGTTACCGTAGCATTAATTAACGATGAACAATGTCTGTGCGGTGTATATTAATTGCGCGATATTCGCATATTTATTTTTAAATAATAATCAAATAACGAACGGTATTATTGCTATACTGATATAGTAACAATCAATAACTCATACCACGATGCTCAAAATAGAATCGAATTTCCTCCTTCATTTGAATGCGTTTTAATAAGCAAGAACACATCTCGCAATTAATTGTATCGAAAACTTTTATCTTTACTTTTATCAATAACGTTTAATTTTCAACAAAGCTGTTTAAGATATTTTGAAGATTTTATCGAAAGATATGCAGTAAACAATTTTGAGAAAATTTGAGTATGCAAAAAATATATGTACATGTGCCACCATCTACTAGTAATCAATATCTTCTCGAACAAATATGTGGGCTATGAAAGAAAAGCTATCTTTAAACAGAATATATCGAAAAGAGAGACTAGAGAATTAACGAAGAAAAAATTTTGATTACAGTTTTTTTTGCATCACAGCTGTAATTTTGTAGATAAAACATCGCAAATATTGTGGTAAATATATACATATATACATATTGAATACAAAGTACAATACAGAAATTAAGATGGAAAGATTTTCTGTGATAAATTATGTAATTGCAGTAAAGATATATAAGCACGATTGTGTGAGAACGTGCAGTTTATTATAATACAACGTGAAAATACATTTTTATGAGAGAGAGAGAGAAAGAGGAAAATGTTTTGAATATACATGTATGTTATTACATTGAAATAATAGGAAAAGATCGTCCAACAATTCATGCAATTATTATTATCTTAACACGAATAACAAGTTATATATAGAATGTTTTTATCTGTGTTAAAATAATAATAGTTACATAAATAATAATGATTATCAAATCTTTTCTTGTTATATTCAAAACATATTTTCTTCTCTCTTGCAAAAATACACTCCCACACTGTATTATAATAAACTGCACGTTCTCACACAACCTGTGCTTATATGTATATCTTTATTGCAACTGCACAGAGTTTTGTCGCAGAAAATCTTTCTATCTTCAATCTCTGCATTGTACTTTGTACTCAATTTTACTGCATGTTATATGTACTCTGAGTTTTTTTCCATACAATATATATGCATATGCTAATAAGAAATCATTACGTCGCAATGAAATTGTTAAATTGAATAAATTGAAATAAACTTTATTTTCATTGCAATTATAAATAAATAAATAATTAATATGTATCACTTTCTTGCCGATTGATTTTGGGACTCAATATACCTGTGTTAGTTGAATTCAAAAATATGTTTACAATTTCATTGAATATATATATATATATATATATATATATATTTAATTCATGTGATATATGTGAATATATCCATTTTAACTTTTGCAAATTTTCGATATAATTTGCTAAAATTTCTATGAATTTTGTTTCAGGACAATTTCCTAGGAATGACACTATGAAAGGTGAGCGAAAAAATAAGTCAGTAATATCAGTTTAACCGAAACGATTTCTAAACTGTTAAATAAGATATGATCCACGTAAAGTGTGACAAGTTATTTTTTCTCGGAAAATGAACATAAAATTATTCGATAAAATTTGTCTGGACTTTACGGGATAAATGGGATAGTTGAGTTTAACTCGCAATCTTCGGGTTTAAAAAAGAATTTCCAGATCTTTGATTCAAATAGAGATTATCTCCGATTCTATCGCATCATAGATTATTTTTTTCTCTGTAAAAAATACTTCGTATTTTTTTATTTTGTAATATTGTTAACGTAATACTGAATGAAATTTTTTTATGATTTTTTTATGATATATTACAAAAAAAATTTAAACAAGACAAAATTACTTTGGAATTTTTTAAAAAGTATATTTTTAAATTTAGAAAAGAAAGGCTTATATTTTTAAGAAAAAAGTATTTATATAGTATTTATATTAAAGCAATTATAGTAATATATTTTATATTGCAATTATTATGTTATACATTGCATTTATTTTATAATAATGCATACAATCTTAAAGTGCGATATTTTTCATTAAATACATTTACTATTTGAAAAAATATTTGGAATATAATATAACCTTTCTTTTTTTTGTAGAGATGGTCTATTGTTATTAAAATTCTATATCTAAACTCTGTCAGACCCTCTACTGACAGCGTAAATCCGGCATTTTCTTGAAAGTCATAGGTAAATGAAATGTCACGTGAATTATTTATGTCGTCTTTCAATGATTTCGCCTTGATATTTTTTTGTGTAGAACAATGCGAACAATTATTCTATGTAAAATGAAAAAATGCGTGACTTTATTTAAAGAATTTAAATCAGTTGCCTCGTATTCTCCTTCGAGACTTCGATTCTGTATTTCATAAAGATTTCCCAATTTAATCTAATCTTGAAATACAAAAAAAAAGTTTATCATTCTTTTTTTACAAAAGATAATTTATAATATCTTTTAACATGAATCATTCTACATAAGAGCGACTTGAAATAACGATTTCGATTCAATTCAGTCGTCGAATGTCCATTGAACCGATGCAACGTCTCATCATGCAGAATAAAGTGATAACGTTATTATAACGCGCAATTTGTTACATAAGATTCGTTATATAAATGCGACATTTTGACGTTTGACGAATATTTCGCGGCGCGAATTTATTTCTCGTTTATTCAGTGCAATCCCATTGCCATTCGTCATATTGTTTTAATTTTATACGATATGTATCGCCGGCTCCAGGCGATGCGACCGTTTGCGAGTCAAATATTCAATGAATGCAAATACACGTTTGCGTGACAAATTTTACGCCTGACGTTTTTGCATACGTTATTATCATGTTGATCTCATTGTCGTTCTATTGTTGTGGCATCTCTCGTGACTTATATTAGTGATATTGTAAGCGGATACACTCAAGTATCGATCGCATACAACTTTTAATTATATACGTATATTAGACATTACGACTGTACATTCGTTATTTAATTCAAATGACATATAGCCCTTAAAAGAGACGTGATTTCAATGTTAAACGGAAAACTATTTGCTTTATTTTTCTATTAAAGACAAATCTTTATTTTAAAAAATAATAAGTTTTTTTTAAAAATAAATATGTTTCTCGCTTGTGCAAAAGTTTTAATTTCTCACATTTCTTCCAAGCATATTTTTTTATTTAATACTAGAGATAAAACAAGTATAAAATTTGGAGACATTTTCAAGTGTATATATTTAAGTTAAATTTTTTTTTAAATATACTTAAGACTTTCTTCGATTTTTTTATAATAATAAAAGTAACTTATACATTTTTAAAGGACAACGACTTCTTTTTATTTAATTCATAACATAAATGTTGTGATAATGTATCTTTATTAAAAATTTAAATAAAAGTTTTCCGTCTGTTCGTTTTCATGCTACTATTTGTGAAAATTTTCCTTCTAATTGTGTAAAATAAAGATATGATCTAAGAGAAAAAAATTAAGCGATAAAAGAAACTAGTTCACTATCGTACATACATTTATTTAACATTAATTATTTCTATGCGCAGGAAAAGGTCACGACTCGACCATACAAGGTTTTCCGAAGCAGTACCCTGGCTGTATATTATATAGCAGGAAAAAGTCGGGAGGTAAATTTAATGATAGCGCATCATCGCACATCATAAAATATAAGGAACAGAGCCAAAGATATGAGGTGCCAGCTTAATACTAGAGAAAAAATTGGTAAAAATTCTTTTTTTTTAGAATTAATTTTTTTTATTAGAATCAAGAAAAAAATTGCAATATTTTTCAATAAAATTCTCATGCCTATAAAAAATTCATTTTTCATTACATTAGGAAATAAATGCTTTAAATTTACATATTTTCAAGATAAAGAATTCTCTATCATTTGAAAGAATATCGAAATCATGGTGCATTTATATATATTATATGATTGAAATATTTAGGGACGACGGTGGTCGGGGGATCGAGAGCAGGTCGCGGGATTCTATTGAGGACTCTCGTGTTCGTCTTCCTGGCTACGTTTCTCTGGCTTCAGCTTCATGTGATCAGTTTGACGGGTCGAGATGATTCCGGGCAATCATCGAATGAAACGCTTTATTCCCTCGTACCTCAAGAATTGCACAGGTAATATCAAAAATTTTGTAGAATTGTCAATGATTGCAAACATCGTTATTGTGTGATTCATAATATAATATTCTAAATATTATTACTATTAAAATATTCTTTAATAAGCTTTAATTGAAAAAGCTTTAATTGAAAAATATTTTTTAACATACTTAATTGATACACAGAATATACTAATTATATGTATATAATTATATGTATATAATTCCTCAACATTTTTTTTAATATTAGAACAACCAGCATTGTATGTATACCTAGTTTAGCACATCTGTCAATTTGACCGGTATTAAAAACCGATATAAAAAACATTTTATTTATTATTATTTTTAATTTTTTAATATAGCCTTCAGTTAGAAAGATTTTTAATATATTTCACGCTTATTTTTTCCTAGTTAAAATAAAACTATTCAGAGTATTCATATATTATATTATTTGTATGAATATTAACATTCAATAATATTAACGTTTCTCGGAATTCTTTTTATAATTATCCAATTCTATCATATAGGAAACAAAAAAGCACAAATATATTTTGCAAATGAGTTTTAGCGAATTAACAACAAACATATGATTTTCCTAAATTAAATTTTTCTAAATTTAATTTGTATCAAAATATCATGTCACCGATACCAATCAATATTTATCGCAAGCAAGCAGCGCAATATGATATCGAGTTAATTAACTTATAAGATATAATGTTTCTTTGAAAAAAATAATTTTTGCTGGTCATGTTTCGTTTTGTTTCATACTAACGATCGCACGTTATCAAGTTTCTGAATAAATTACACTGAAATATGAAGTTATTAAATCATTTCAACGGGTTTTGAAATATTTAGGTACACTATAAACTTTAAAATTTTAGAATAATTAGGTTGCAGAAAATAAACTGAAATATATAAATAGCTTAATCAAATGGTACATAAAGCCATCCAAACTCAATTTTAAATTATTGTTAAATTTGAGGTATAGACAATGCGATCTATCAATATCAATATATGTATCAGTAATTATACTAAATTCATTTAAATCATTTTTATCAAATTTCAGTTTTATGTGTATCATTTTATTGTTTCAGTTTTAAGTATGATATATTATTTTTATGTCATTTGTATGTATATCTATGGTAAAAGTCAACGCAAAATCTTTATTTTTCAAATCTTTATTTTTATTTTCTTCGCATTTGATACCTGAGTCACTGATATAAACATTATATATTCCGATAAAAGCACTTTAATAATTTTTGTAATTTGAAAATAATAAATCTGAAATCTGTCACATTTTGATGGGTTTAATTGTTCTAATGTTAAATGTTTTAGTGTTAAATTCTATATATTTGAAGTGTTTCTTTTGAATATATTTAAAGTTGAAAATTCTTTTAAGAATCTATTTCTTTTCAGAATGATACACTATTATATTTATAAACTTATACCATTTAAGGGAAACTCTTCAATTGACGAGGAATAATCATGTCTGTAATAATTTTATATTCTCCGAGTTATATGAGACAATATTTTGAAATTTCAGATTTTTGAAGGAGGGACGTAATTCCTCCACAAATTTGAACGCTAGTTCAGGAGCACTTACGGAACTAGAGATTGCGGAAATCCGGCGGAAGATTGAACGGGCGAATGCGGAGCAAAAAGTGTACAATGAGGAGGCGTTCGGACCGTTGGCCAATGACGCACCGATTATAGTCATCCAAGTGCATAAGCGAATCACTTATCTGCGGCACCTTATCGTTTCGCTTGCGCAAGCTAAGGATATCGAGCAGGCTCTTCTTGTATTTAGCCACGATATCTGGCATCCGGATATTAATTACCTCGTACAGAGCGTCGATTTTTGCCGAGTAATGCAGATCTTCTACCCGCATAGTATACAGACTCATCCTCATACGTTTCCTGGCGAAGGACCAAACGATTGTCAACGAAATATTCGCAAAGAACAGTGAGTCCAAATATATTTATATCCAAATATTTATATCGCTTCGTTATTCATAATGCGTCGCTAGCGCATCTCTCTTGATCGAAATTAATTGAATTTTATACTCTTCTTACAGGGCCTTAAATTTAAAATGCACCAACGCCAAACATCCGGACTTGTACGGCCACTATAGGGAAGCTAAATTTACGCAGACGAAGCATCATTGGTGGTGGAAAGCGAACTGGGTGTTCAATCAATTGTCGGTAACGAGAAATCATACGGGGATGGTCCTCTTTCTTGAGGAGGATCATTACGTCGCCGAAGATTTCTTACACGTGCTCAGACTCATGGAACGCACGTGCAAGCTCAATTGCGAGAGATGCAATGTTCTGTCGTTGGGTACATATTTAAAGACGTACAACTATTTTACGGATTTTAGTCGTAAGGTGAGAGCTTCTTTTTTACGTCTTGGTACAGTCTTAATTTTGCTTTACGCGATGTTCCATGCACAAGAGATAAGGATTACGAATACGGGCGGGTTACCGGAGTTCACGTTACCGGGAGACGCATTTTTTAGGCAGTCACATCGGCAATGCGTTTAGCAATTCACATATTTATGTCCTCAATCATATAAGTAAGCAGATAAGAATAATGATTTTTTCATCGGCACAACAATTATTGCTAACGCTTGGTAATATAACAATATCTGGCAAAATTAGCACGCGTGTTATCGATAAAACGCGCTTTCTCGCTTTTAAGCGATACGTATATCTCTCTTTCTTTGATTAATCCACAACATGCAGAGTTCTCGAGGCAGAAATATCGAGTCGTACGTCGCACCGTTGCACGTTTACAAAAGTTAAAGGTATCGGACGTATCATATGTTCACTATTAGTGTGTCTGTGTCGATGTTTCACGCACGCCCGATCCGTTAGTACCTCGGCGTCAATAGCGCTCTGCAGAAGGAGTTGCTTCGTGGATTAAAGCGACAGGAGATATCGGCATTGATGATGCAGAAACAGCAAATTGGCAACGGGATCGGCGGCGGCGGCGGCGGCGGCGGCGGCACTACCGTCAATGGCGGTGGTAGCGACGGCGTTAATAATGCTGGTGGTAACACGATCGGTACCGGAAGTAACGGAAGTACCGGAAGTGGCGGCCGAGGCGGCGGCAGCTTCAACGGCGGCGGTAGCGGCGTGTCCTCCACCTACTATCAGAACGCGAACGCGGTGCAAGCAGCGTCCGCGTGGGCCTTCCAACTTCTGCCTAGTCTCTACAATCATTATCAGAAGGTTCTCGAGAATCCCGCCCGAATAGCAGCAACAAATCGCCTACCGCCTTAGATACTTTGATTCCTCCTATTCGCACAGCTCCTTTTGTTTTCTTTTTCGCTTTACCCCTTTCGTCTTATCGTGTTATCTCTGAAGACACGATTATTATCTTGCTCGTTACCTCGATATTTTATACATTGCCAAATTTTGCACGGCTTTTTATCATAGCATCGATCCAAAAAACTGTGATCGATTGTATTAGCTCCGACTGCTTGACGTTGAGTTAAGGGAAGAAAGCTCTCCTTGTCTTGTAGAAAATAATACTCAAATTCTTTATAGACAAATATCGATTCAATGTTCCATGTTGTACAACATGTTATCTTACATCCATGCTAAATACACAATACATAGGTGAGACTCCTTTGTAGAATTTTCTTGACGAATTTTCATTTTCTTGAGACATAGTAATGCATGTTTCGAATGATGATACAAACATAATAAAATGGCAAAGTCACAGTAATTAAAAATAATAAAATAAAATTCTAAAAATAAATAGCAAATTTGAATTGTGAATACTGGAATTATAGAGAATCGAGAAATATTGTAACTGAATTTGTGACTTTGTCTCAATTGATCGCTTTAATTGTAGACACAATTGTAGACACAATAGTATTGATTAGTTCCTTCAGTAGAGTTGTATGTTATATAAGAAGATACAAAATGTGCGAAATCACTATCATCTAATTTCTTTTATTTTGTCGAAATAGGCGGAAGTGACGCCGTGGATATCCAGCAAACATAACATGGGCATGGCATTCAATCGCATCACGTGGAATAAACTGCGGAAATGCGCCGCGCAGTTTTGCTCGTATGACGACTACAATTGGGATTGGAGTCTGCAGTATATCGCGCAAACATGTCTACCACCTAGCCGAGGCGCCGGAATAGCGCCTCGTGCTGAATCCGGATTGATCACGATGACGATGAGAGCTCCTAGAGTCTTCCATATCGGAGAATGGCAAGTATAGCGACACATTGTTTCGTATCAAATATAAATTCAATCTTAATTCTCGTCTCCATGACATTTTTTTATTATCATTATTTGATAATTTAATTTAACGATATTAAAATGTATATTTAATGTACCTTTACAGTGGAGTACATCATAAGAAGAACAATTGCGAGTCGACAGCAGTGATAGCAAAGGTCCAAAATGTTTTAAAGGCGGCGCGCAATCATCTGTTCCCTTCGCAATTAACGTTGACGATCGCCGGGACAGCGAAGAAGACGAAACTCCGCAAAGGTAATGGCGGTTGGGGAGACATACGAGATCACCAACTTTGCTGGAATATATCTGTATACCCAGATCTAGTTCTGCCTTGAAGATTTAGAATTGCAAATTTTGATTCTGTTAACGTATCGAGCAAATTTGTTGAGCAAACACGAACCGCTATAATTATTGAACGATTATTGGAGTAAATCTATCACGGTAATTTAGCAATATATTCGGGATACCGTTCTTACGGGATATTTGGTAAGATGGTACAATAAGAGGGACTAAAGAATTTCCATCGTTCTATGAATCGATTTCGAGTTGCGTTGAATTAATGAATATTATCGTCACTGTCAATCATGATCGTGAGACCGCTGTCACTGCCAGGAATAGAAGGTTTCTTTTACAAGTATTCGTGAACGTTTTGTCGTGGTGAAACATAATATTGAAGCGGACAAAAGAGAATTCGACAGTGAGTTCAAATTGGTGCTATCCTGAAAGAAAATGCGATTTTTTACAGTATATATTTAATTCGCTAATTAATCTGTTAAGTCGTACCGTTAGATGCAAAATAATAAAGACATTAAAAACTATATCGCTGCAGATGAATTGGCGAAAAATAGCGAAGAAAATTTCGCATAAATCAAAAAAGGAAAGATTTTCGAAACATATTGATAATGTTATCAATAGATGAAAAAGGAGTTCACTTTCTCAGCATTGCGCTGTCCGTAAAAATAGTGTGATAAAAGCGTTAATAATAAGACACCACATTTCCTCAATTGACCGTGTTTTGGACTGCTGCTCATGGAACATATGTACTCGCTCGAAGGAGTAATTTTTCATATTCTTAAAGGACGAAAACATGATAAACAAGTGAGTTTGATTAAGCTTAAATATGTATTATCACAATATTCTAAAGGCCTATATGACAAGACATTGGAAACAATTTAATTTCCATGTCATCAATAATTTCCATGATGCAAGTGCAAGCAGTCATATAAAATTGTAAATTCAAGGATATATAGAAACAAAGAAGACTATACTCTATATTAACATCATGAAGAAATTAGTCTGCTTTCCAACTAGCTTCTATCTATTCTTTTTTGAGATGCTGGACATTGGTGTTAATCAGCATCGTAATGTCGATCACGAAATGCGCTCATCATATTCTAGTCAATGTGTATAACGTAATGCTAAAGCTGCAGGTATTTAATAATTAATCGTAGAGAATAAGCTCGTAAAATTTAAGAATTCATACCTACTACTAGTGATACGCCCGTAAAGGCGCTCTAACGTCTTGTAACGACCTCGGGGATACGAACGTAATGAATGTCATGTACCTTTTATATTTATAACAATAAAACGACATGCAACGAACATAGATAGAATTCGCAAGAAATGGCTTTTCTGCTGATAAATATTAAATTTCTGTGTTTCTCCAACATTTATAATGTTTTTATAGAAGTGCACTTATACTTTGAAAAAGATACACTATTGTATTTGTTTAAAAGGCGCAATTCATCTTTCATGAAAATTAAGTATCAATAACTATTAATTTCATTGTTTGTTCATGTTCTTTTCATTTTAAACAACAAATAGATTGTAGTACAGCATTCTTATAATATAATTTTAAAAAATAGTAAAATATTTTATATTTTCCAAAAAATTTCCTAAAGGTACCAATAGCAAGGTTTAAGATAATATATGAAATTCATATTTTATATACTAGTATTTATCTAAAGCTTAATCTATTATCATATATATTGAATGATCAAAGATTCAGACGCTTATGATAGAGAGGTACATTGTCATCGTACTCTGCTAGCATAAAGTTACCAGCAATTGGACCTTCCAAGTTATACTTTTCTGCAAACTTTTTTATAGAAAATCTTTTTCGTTGACTTCCGTCCCTAAAATCAAAGAAAATAAAAAATATCGAATATTCAGTTGTATGAATACACAAGGTTATGCAATATATCAAAACTGATCAAAACGATCAATTATAAGATATATTCACCAAGTACTCAATCTTCTTTCATCAAAAGTAATAGCGCCTTGATTTTGTTTATAAATGAGAAACACGTAGCGATGTTTCCCAGTATTTTTCGGCGGAGCAGGGCCAACATATTCTGCTAGAATTTCGCCTTTTGCTATATTTTCCTCCGGTATATTTCCCACGAGCCAGTGTCGGAATTCTCGGTTATATCCTCCTCTTCTCGGCGCATCAGGATCTAAAGTATAGAATATATTTGTTTAGACACGAAAATTTTACAAAAAAATACCTCTATATAGTAAAAAGTATTGAATTTATAGAAAATAGAAAAAAATAGCGAAATCATTAATGAATAAAAATATAAATATCAATATTAACATAAATATATTATTATCAATTTGTATCTTTTTACTATTATTTTATGCTCTAATATTAAAAATTAAGTAAAATTAATAATAAAAATTATTACAACAGAAATCACTTTAGAATTAATTTCGATTTAATTAGTCCTAATATTATTACATTACTCATACAGTACAATATTTTTAATTCTTTAAAGCCTTTTCAATCATTGGATCTTAATTTAACACAACAATTATGGTATAAACTTGATAGAAATGTCTGAAAAATGAGGCTTATAAATCGAAAACAATTATGAAGTGTTCACAAATATGCTAGAATTAAATATCAGAACAAATTTTTAAAAATTGTTAAGAACCAAGAGTATGTGTGACAATATTGAAAGCAAAACATAAGAGAGAGATAACACAGTATGTATTATACATATAATAAAATATTGAATTATTATAATTTAGAATATTAAATTATAATATATTGTAGAATATTAGATTATAATATAGAATTGATAATATTAATATACATTTCTTTCTCAGTAAAGTAATGATTTCTGTTTCTATAAGTAATGTAATTCTTTTGACCGGTATTATATAAGAAATAGTAATTAAAACTAATTAAATCGAAATTAATTCTAATATTATTCTATTATTATAAAATACTAGATATATTTGCACATTGTCATTAAATTTACATAAGCCTCAACTTGACAATTGAAATGCTAGTGGATTCTCGCGTCGTCAAATGATGACGATCGAGAGAAAACTGGTTTTCGAGATAGTGAAAGTTGAACTGATCAAGGATAGCACATTTGACTACTTCGTTATTTATATAGTGGAGAACACACATCACAAATAACGAAAAAAAAAAACAATCTTACTTGGATTCTTTTGAATTTCTGATTCTAAGATAAGAATTTTTACTTATGAGCGTTTAGAGTATTTTTAGAGATTCAATTATGTAATTCAAGTGATTCACACAAGCCACACCTGTCATAACGAGTGTGTACAAAACTCCGCCTTCATGTTTATAATGTATCTCAGGTATCTCATGAGTTTCAGTTGGCGTTAGCTCGGTTCCCAAATCGACCACCTTACCACCATATTTTACCTGAATAATATATGATTTGAATAAATAATACCAGAATATAATCATCTTTGACAATTTCTTTTTATTCTCTTTTTCTTTGTCAAATGTCAATGATTTCTAAATTTTAATCTAAAAATTTCATCTTTCGGATAAATATGAAAGTGCTTTATTTAAATTTAGCAATAACTACATAATTAGAAATTTCGAAAAACTGTAGAATAAAATTAGAAATCTGTCTAAAGATGAATTCTCATCTTATACAAATATCTGTTTATATTTTAAACAAATACATACCTCGATCTTCTCGATTGGTGCCTTATCTATAATGTCAGGCTCGATTTTCGCCTTTTTAAATTCCGACTCCACATCGCCTAATGAGAGGCCAATAGCACAAAGAAAGATTCCTAAATTATCATTTTAAAAAAAGTAAAATCAAAGAAGTAATCATTTTTGCGTTGAAATAGAAATGACATTTATGATTTTCTTTACACAATTAATATAAAATAACATAAGCAACACAGAAACATAACGAACCTGATATTAAATACTTCATACTCGACACTGCTTCAGGAAACTGCAACGATTATTAATGAAAGAATTTATAAGAGATAGGTTTTACAGATGTATCCCCACCAGTTTGCTCAGAAAGCTGATCCTGCTGGCCTTTCTTCAACATATATATGTATAGTTATACACATACAATTGAACTGAACATACACATAATTGAGCTGACAATTGCACAGGCAAACAATTGCCTACAAAATTATATAGCTTGTTACAAAGAATGCGGAAGTTTCTCTTCTCTATTCTCAGTAAAATAAAAACTAATTTTTATAATATTATTAACATCAAGATATACAATTTTCAATTATTATCAACATTTTTTATATCTTTTATTATTTTAAAGTGAAATAAACAATTGAATATAAAAAAGATATCTCTCAAGAAATATCGAAAATATCAGAAATATTTAATTTTTCACGGCAATAAGAATAAATTTATTATCAATTCTGACAAAATTGGTAAAAATTGCAATTTTCAATTCTGAATTTAAAGTAGACATTTATAAAAAATCAGGACCTATTATTTTCCTGATTAAAAAAAAAAAGGCAATATACTGAAAAGAACGCTTAATATGCATTTATTCAACAAACAGTGTGATATACATTATTATGTATATTTCTAGTTAATAGTATATTAATAGTTTAATAAATGTATATTAATAGTTTGATATATATCATACAAGTATATTTCACTGAAATTATAATTGTGTATAAACTGTATAAATTTAACCCTCGAGTTGCTTATAAAGGATTGGTACGTAATCGTCAAACTCTGCCTGATACATATTTCCAGCAATCGGATCACCGAGTTTGTATTTAGCAGCGAAGTTTTTAATAGAGAATTTTCCGCGGTTGTCACCACTTCGATTGGTTAGGCGTTTTTCGTTGAAGGTGAGCTTGCCAGGTTGTTTGTACAACAGAAATACATATCGATGAAGGCCTGTACCTTGCGGAGGTCCGGAACCAATGTATTCGGAGAGAACATCTCCTTTCGAGACATCTGATCCAGGAATATTGCCTACCAACCAATGATGCCATTCACGAAATTTGGGATTCTGTCTGCTCGGAGCATCAGGATCTGTTTAAATGTTAAAATAGAAAATATAAAGTATAAATATTTATATATGTATAACAATTTGTCAAATTGAATTATTAAAATATCCAGGATATAAATGAAATAAGCTTGCAATTTACTGGTAAATACAGTTGCGTATTTAATTCTAGAAAAATCTATTAAAGTTATTTCTGTCAAAATGACTTTTAACATTCTTTTTAAAGCAACAGAATTATTATAAATATATTTATTATCTGTAATTATAATTTATATAAAAGAAATCAAAATCAAATTATTTGTATTTAAACACTATAAAAAAAGGTAAGATACAAGTAATTTGAATGTACAACTTACAGAAATAAATCATATATATTATAGATTGCATTCTCACTCTGAAATATTTAATTACAAATCTATATAATAATATTTCTACTCACCAGTCATGCACAAGGTATAAAATGCATTAGTCTCTCCATCCCACTGAACAGTAGGTTGATCCTTGACCTGAGTCGGAGTGAGCACCTTACCGATTTCAATAGAAAGATTATTCGGATAGGTGACATTCAGCACATTTGCCGGCACCTTATCCACCACATCTGGTATAACTCCGTGAGTCTGCAAAGCCTGAGCCATGGATGACAATAAACGTGTTCCTGTTTGCGATACCACTGCTGAAGCTCCTGCAAGCAAGATATTGAAGTCATTACTTCGCTAGTTCATAAACAAGATAAGAAAGCAGCGAGAGGTCAACATAAAATACACATAATACAGAATACTTGTAAATATTTCGAAACGATTCTTATAATTGTCAAGTATGTCATCAGTATTAAACGAAATTAGAAATCAATTCGCCGGTAAAACAAGACAATGAACGAAATTAAAGGAACATTCCCGTCTTTTTTAGTACCCAGACAGCAGATCGCAACGAACAGCGCGATTCTGTGACGCAGCAACATTTCGCGAGAAACTAGCAGCTCGACGATGCACGAGCGAATAACAGGATCTTACGCGACCCGGAGCAACCTGAGCGTAAAATCGACGTTCGCGTGTGCGAAACGTGATGTCGCAACCACGAGAAAATATATATAGTCTCCGAGAAATTGCTATTACTTGCGACGAGAAGGGACATGACAGAGCGTGCACTTGCCGGGTACCTACACGAATGCGAGAATCAAGAGCGAATAAGAGGACGAGAGGGGCATCAGCACGTATTGGATCTCGTTTATCCCTTCCGTCGTCGAGACGACCGATAATAATAATCGGTATAGCTCGTTATCAGCCTATTTGTTGTGTAACCGAAGTGTATTAGACCCACCGGTGATTTCGATTGTGTTTACGTGATTCCCACGACGAACGATATGCGCATGCAAGTCGAATAATGGCTTCTACGCACGCAATAAATAGAGGTAAACAACGGAATGCGAAATAATAAAAGAAGGCCTTTCCGGCTATTATCGAATGCACGAATTTTCATCCGTGAATGAAAGCGCGATGAATCCAGATAAATCTGTACAAGTTTGAAGTAAAATTTTACAACGTAAAGAAAATTGTAGAGAAGAAAAAATGTATGTTATTAATTAAGATACGAATTACTTACGCGTAAGAAATATTCGTAAATAATAAATAATTATCTTTGGAAGTGCGCCATTTGACATATTTGAAAGATTTTCGAAAAATTCGTGATTAAAAGGGAGAACATTTCTGCCAAAGATTCAAAAATATAAACCAAGTTTATTTTATATCAGTCGTTTGATACGCGTAATATCAAATAGTAAATAACTACAAATCGGTTCAGTCATTGGCTTATCAATTCAAATGTACCATTTGAATATCAAACGATCGGTTTAAACTTGGCCATAAATTTACGTTCACATTCTTCTATAGTTATATCATTTCTAATAAATGTACAATTTTTCGAGTAGTTTAGTAGTCTAAATTTGAAACGCAGTTGCCAAGATAATGTCATATAAAAAATTAAAGTTAAATGATTTTACGATTTTTAAATAATAATCTTGAGAGTTTTAGAAGAAAAAATACTTTTAAAATCTAGATATACTGTAGAGAATTTTCTAAAAATTAATAACGTGGCAGGTATGAATCATCTTTATATTATAATAACATTGTATTAGTAAGTTCATTACATTATAATAATTAATTATAATATAAATTATAAATTATAATATAATAAATTATGATAAAATAAAATATATAACAAAAATAATAAATTAATAATAATAAATATATAATAAAAATAATAATACATAATAAATTGTCGCATTTTGAAAAAAAATAATGCGACTAAAATAATGCGAGTAGATCCTGAGTTTGGCAAGCATATCGATTAGTTACCGACAAACGATAATGTCCGAAACTTCTTTATCGAGAGTCGATCGTTGTCGATCCCCGATGACAGCGCGCTCTATAATATGATTATTCGAACAGCCTTGAGCCACCTCGAGTTAAGCATACCTGCCATACGGAAGGTCGATCACCTTCTCTAGCCTCGCCGATCGAAGAATTCCAAAACATTCGTCTGAGAGTTAGCTAATTGCAAGATTCGCGGGACGAGTGAGGTAACGTTCCTAGATGTTTGGAAAGCCCGATCTGTCCACGACGCCTCCATCAAACTTCACGTACGTCAGACTCGACATATAATCTACGAATGATCGGGAACGGTGGGCGTACCTATTGGAGGACACTGTTGCAGGAGGTCCCGAGTGACAGTCGTCTGGCAGTGGCGAAATTCGCATGATCGCGGAGAGGATGCACGCTGCAGGGTAACCCTTGGAGAAACGAAGTATGGAGTCGGGGAATCGCCGGACGCTCCTCGGCAAAGGCGGTAAACGCGCGCGCTTCCCCGGGGATCCCTCCTGACGCGACACCCGAGTCGACGAGCGCCCAGAAATCGAGATGCACCAGAACAGACGTAAGAAGAAGCGAGTGAATTACGGTGTCAGGGCGGTCGAGGTGATCCGCGGCGCGAAGGGCTTCGGCTTCACGATCTCGGGTCAGCAGCCATGCATCCTGAGCTGCATCGTGCAGGGCAGCCCGGCCGAGGGGGCCGGTCTGCGGGCCGGCGACTACCTGGTGGCCGTGAACGGCCACAACGTCAGCAAGGTGCCTCACGACGACGTGGTGCAGCTGATCGGGAACTCCAAGGGAGTGCTGCGGCTGCAGATCGCCGAGAACTACTACTCTGACTCGGACGAGGAAGGTCTGGCCACCGTAAGATCCAAGCCCAAGTACGCCCACAAGCCACGGGTTGCTAACGCAAGTGCCTTACAGCTGCAATGTAGAGCGGCGAAAGTAGTTAGAGATCTGCAGAGCGGAGCTATGTTTCATGCGTCGCTTGGCAATCTGGCATCTGATAGTAAAGATCAGTACAATTATTCCGTCCTGCATTATCGTTGGAACATGACGAGTCCGCTTCCACCGCCTCCGCCTCCAGTGTCTCATAAGCGTGACTCTGAAAAGATTGTGCATAGAACAGTTGTGGGTTATCTTGGGACTATCGATATACCAAATCAGTTGCATCCGTCTTGTATGATGCAGGTGTGTTCTTTAAATATGCATTTTATAGTCTTTAATTTATAATTTATCAATTTATGTTTGTACTTAATTATTTACAAATTTAATGGAATAATCCAATGCTGTAATATACTATATTTTATTATCGTTGCAGGTTTTGAGAAAATGCATCAAAAGGCTGAAAGCGGAGAAGCGGAATCCAACCACTGTTCTTCTCACTATTCACGTTGCCAATATTAAACTCACCAATTCGGAAAATCGCGTCATTGCCGAATACCCCTCGTATCGAATAATATTTTGTAATTCCTTTTCGGAGCAAGACAAGCAATATTTTGGAATACTAACAAAATCCATGAAGAACACGGACGACATTGTTTCAAACTCGTGTCACGTTTTCACTATTTATTATAAATTGATCGATCATGAAGTGCATTCTAGTGCGTGTAACGTGTTTGGATTTACGTGTACAAAATCATCAGAGCTAAATGTTTGTCAAGAATTTCCTGACAGTTGTACAGGTCTTATCGGTGCCATACAGACATTGTATATATCTGATTGCACGAATGGAGAGAATCCGTACAATGAAGCACGCATACGATTGGACGCCGCTTCTCCTCAACCGAGTAACGTTAGCACATCGACTGCTCATTCAAGCAACAGTGATTCCGGAATTGGTTTTAAAGACGATTATGGCAGTTGTTCGGGTCAAAACACGGCAAACGACTGCGAACGAAGAAGGCAGCATCCTTCCAATGTGCAATATAAGGTATTTGCGTTGATTATTACATTCTTTTTTACATAAAAAAGAGGCAAATGTAGAAATACCATAAATTTATTGAGACAAACTATTTTGAAATTTTTCAAATACTTGTGTTCTCTTGTAAAACTCTTTCAATAATTTATAGAAATATAATTATACTTTGATTTTTCATATTTCTTAATTTATTTAGCATTATTTAAAATAAACACTATTTTAAATACACAAGCTATTAAAACTAATTTGTCACTTTACTCTACGACACGTGAGATTCTATAATTTATATTTTAACTCACAGACAACTCTCATTTCCAGAATATAAATGCGCAATCGTCTAGAGAATCTGCCAGTGAAGTTGCTGAGCACCGATTGACAGTTCGTGCGATTTCGGAAACCAAATGGAATAAGGAACCAAAATTCATCGATTTCTCTAAAGGTAACTTGATATTATACTTTAAAACTGTTGCAATATATCTCTCTTATTTTTGAGTTGTTTTTTTTCTCACTTTTTTTCTTTAAATTTTTCTTGGATAATATATTTATTTATTTATTTATTTATTTGATTTATAAATGAGACAAAATATTGAGAATAGAACCTAGGTCTTTTATTGAACGATTGCTCTAAATTACTCAGGCTTTATTTTTAGGCCGTTAAATAAATGCGAACTGCAATAGAAGTGGTGGGGAAACTTACGAAATGTGCTTTTCACAGGGATGCGACACGTGACGGGGAGTGGGGAGGGCACGACCACCTGCGCCGGAACATCTGCCCCTGTTATGGCAGCCCATAACTCATTGGCCAGTACGTCCGTTGGATCCCTTGCGTCCGTTTGTACCACGGCGTTGCTCGATGGTATCGAGGACGCTGCGGAATCGTCTAAAGCGGCATCGACGGCAAAATTAAAACGTCTCATGGACACTACGAACAAACTCAGCCCGAAAGTGTATTGCGGCCAGGTCACCAAATCGCTAGTGCACAGCTTGGAAGATATCAATTCTAGCATGGAATACGCGCGACCGCCCTTTTGTCATTCATATTCCAAATCTGACAAACCTCGTCCATGGGGAAGCCTGCAGGAGATACGGAATTTCGGGAACAGCGTCTCGGACAATTGCATAGTGAGTTCTTATTTTAATTTATTTTTTTTTAGATCTTAAGAGAAACTCTCTTATTTACTTTTGTCAGTTCACGTAAATTTGATATAGGGTAATATATGATAATTTTGATAGATTTATAAATTTTTGGCATAATTCAGGCTTTTTATAGCTGCAATTAATTAATCTGCATTATTTAAAATAAAATTTTCGCAAATAACTTAATACAGATTTTTCACAGAATTTTTCAATTCAGCTTTCACGTGTATCGGATAAATAAAAAACGAGAAATATTTTCACAATTAAATACTTGGGCATTTTTGAAAAAAAAATGAAAGAATTTATTTAGTCATGTTCTATTTTTAAATCTTACAATTTATTATAATTATTTATATTGTTTTTTCGCCCAAGAACAAAGTCTTATCGATGTTATAGTTTTATTATCAAATATTCTTGCTTTTAGAAAAGAGAATTTTTTTTTAAATGATACATATCTCTATAGTTATTTTAATATATCGTTACATGTTTTATGTAAATTATCAAAGCGATATTGTATTTTTTCATCGATTAGCGAAACGCAAGCGATTGGCCAATCGTATATTTTTTCTCTCTGGTTTTTACAAATTTCAATTTCTTACACATGCTATCAAAATCTGTGCACCAGAAACGGTTAATGTCTCGGATGTCGGATTTGTCGTCGCTTCTGAATGATTTC